AAAAAAAAAAAATTAAAAACTCTTTGAAAAAATTATAAATAAACAAATGCCACAAACAGAGGCCGTCTCCATTACCTGCCACATAATCTTCAGCAACGTAGCTGTGCTCGTGCAGGATCTCCTCCATGCGGCTCAGAGTGATGGCTGCCAGATGCCCAGGGTATTTCAGCTGCAGGAGACGCTGGAGGTAGCCAGCTGCTTGGCTTCCCCCCAGATTGATGCGTTTGCAGTTTTTAGCATCTAATCTATAAGCAAGGAATGGAAAAGAGTACTGAAATTTGTGGCAACATGGGAGAAAGGACAGGGAACACTTCGTGGGGGGCTCGGGGGGAGGGTGACAATGCAGATGAACAAGGAAGAGACAGAGCAGCCGGGGGAACAGAAAACTTTAGAGATGAAGGGACTCTGAAGTTCCCTCGATTCAGCCTCGGACTCAGTGCAGGAATTCCTAGTCCACACCCAGACACGTGGCATCTAACTTCTGGCAAGGGTGTCACAAGGAAACAAGGTTCAACGGGAAGAATATGTACTCTGAAGTCAGACCCTTATGTGGCTCGTCATGCATTTCTCAAACTGCGGTCCTGGTAGAATTAGCTGGGGGAAACGTTAAACGTGCCGATTCCCGGGACTCATTTGCTTTGGGGTAGGGCTGGGAGTATGCATTTTATTTAACAAGCTCTCCAGGTAAGTCTAACATAGGCTAGAGTTTGAGAACCCTCCCCTGGACACTCCACTTCTGCTGATGCATACACATTAAGTAACCACACGCACATACTGGCTTACTGTAGCCTCCTGAAAGGACCAGGTCCCTTCCACATCTTGTGAAGGGGAAGAGAAATCAGAATAGCCTCTTTCTTAATGTGAGAAAGGGTAGCAGGACACTAGGATCTTGCCGCAATTGCAAAGCCTTTGTTATATCACGCTTCACCAGCAGATGCCAGCATAGAACAGGACAGGCTCCAATGTGATCGTGTCTTAACTTTCAGGTAAAACACTTTTCTCTCAATACTTTTCTGTACATTCTGTTTACAGAAAATAAAAAAAACTCCAAATATAAGGAGTGTTTGGTCACGTGTAAAATAAATACTTCTATCTTCATAAATGTCTGTAGAAACTTCAAGAGAAATTACCACTATAGGTCTCAATAAATTCAACATTTATTTTGACTTAAATACTCAGACTCTTTTACAGTTCCCAAAGTGCCATCACCTACATTTATCTCACTTCATCCTCAGAGTAACCCTGAAAAATTAGTTTTTCCCAATTTTACGTGTTAAGAAGAGGCTAAGTGGAGAGGGTAAATAACCTCATCCTCAGCAGGGCCACAAACCCAGGCATTTAACTCCAAAGCCAGGGCTCTGCTCCCTACTTCCCCTCTGTATGCAATAAGAAACCTTCTCCCGAGAGCACGATGCTGGCCTAGTCTCTTCTCCAACAAGGAAAGCCCAACTATAAAATGAAAACTGGTCTAAAAATGACAGAAACTGGGGCACCTGGGTGGTTTAGTCGGTTAAGGTCTGACTTCGGCTTAGGTCATGATCTCACAGTTCATGGGTTCGAGCCCCACATCAGGCTCTGCACTGATAGCATGGAGTCTGCTTTGCATTTGTCTCTCCCTCTCTCTCTGCCCCTCTCTCCAGCTCAAAATAAATAAATAAATACATATATATATATTTTTTAATGAGAGAAACTACCCTCACCTTTTATCCAACTTGGAAATATTTAATAAGTATCTATATTACGTTCCAGGCACTGTACCTGAAAAGTACTAACCAACTGTGATTAAAGAGCTTTAAATTAAAAAATAACCTTTTTCTCTTTTTTTTTAAATTTTAGAGAGCATGAGTGGAGGAGAGGTGCGGGGGGGAGAGAGAGAGAGAGAAAGAATCTTAAGCAGGCCCCACACTCAGTGTGAAACCTGATGTGGGGCTTAGTCCTACAACCCCGGGGTCGTGACTGACCTCAAAACCCAGAACCTCCCCCCCCAAAAAAAATAACCCCTCAATAAAAAAGTGACTCCAGAACAGAAAGGCCATTTAAATCATTCAAATAATTTCTTCAAAACGTTTTTTTATGGGCACCTGCTACTTGCAGGTGATTATCTTGCCATAATCAAAATAGTAAAATTCTACAATTATGGAGTTGGACTTCGAAGACCATCTACAACAACTCCCTCCAGGTCACAAAGGATGGAAGGTGAAGTGACTTACCTGAAGTCACATAGTGAAGTATGTCAGAGCCAAGGCCAGAGGCTAGTTCCCAGTCCAATACTTGTTCTTTCCACCCCACCTTTAAGGTGGGCACCCAACAAATGTTTCTTGAATGCTTCTCCGGTGCCCTAAGTGCTACTCACCTCCCATCTAAGATGGGTAAAATATGGGTACACTGGTAACCAGATGAAATGATGAGCCCGCTGGAGATCAAGTTCTTTGGCCTATTGTGGTAGAAGCTGAAGAGGCTGTCTATTCCATAGGCAACCTTAGGAATCCCATAGCACTCGAAAAGAAGCTCGGACATCATCTGTCGAGAATACAGCGGGTTGCACACAGCTTCCGTCAAAACTATGGGATGATCGACACAGCCCTACTTTGAAAGAAAAGAGAGAACAGACCACTAATAAAAGAATACTCTCCCTAAAGAATAAAAGAAACCAAAGGCCTACTGGAAAGACTGAATTTGCTTTCGGTCTTCAAACACCTGGCCAGAAGCAACTGTAAAACGCTCATCTCTACTGGAGGTTGTTTTTGGAGAATATGAAAGCACGGTCAATCGAAAGTTATTAAGTCAAGCCCCAACCAGACTGTCAGCAAATCATATTGGCTCGATCTTCAAAATACCTCCAGAATCAAACTGCTTCTTGCCACATCCCCCTCCCCTGACCTTCACCTTAGTCACCATCATCACTCACTTGGGTGACTGCAATGGTCTCCTAACTGGTCTCCCGATTCTTCCCTATGACCCATGCCAGTCCATTCCTCATACAGCAGCTACGGCGGGCCTTCTGGAGCATAAGTCATGTCCCTCCTCCGCTCAACACCCTGCAATGGCTCCTCGTTACACTCCGAGTAAAAGCCTATAAGGTGTGTGATTTGCCCCTCATCACTTGTGACTTCCTCTCCACTTTAACTACTCTCCTCTCACTCTGGCTGCTCTCACTTAGGATTAGGGCACACTTCTCCCTCAGGGCCTTTTCACTGGCTGTTCCCTCTGTTTGGAATACTATTCCCTCAGATATTCCCATGGCTTGCTCCCTCAATCACCTCCTTCAATCCTTGCTTGAACATCCCCTTCTCCCTGAGTCCTACCCTGACCATCCGAAAAGACGTGAACCGCCCCCCCTCCTCCTACCATGCCACAGAATCTACTACTTAATTCTATTGTTTATTGGCTGCCTTTTCATACTAGAATGCCTTTCCATTCTAGCTCCATAGAGTAAGTAATTTTGTGTTACATTCATGGATGTATTCCAAACGCCTGGAAAAGTGCCTGACACAGAGTAGGTAGGTGCTCAATGAATGAACTTATCAACGAATGAGCACCTATGCCCGAAGGTATGCTGCAAGAGAACAGGACCGTTGTTTAGTCCGCTGCTATTTCCCAAGAGCCCAGCACAGGGCTTAAACACGTTGGGCGCTTAAGATTTGCTCGACAGACGAAAGGAATGGCTAAATGACAATGAGAGCTAGAGTTACCCTAGTGACTACGACCTCTCAGCGAAATGCGCGGGCACAAGACCTCACCCCTCCCCTCCAGCCCAACCCAACCCACCTCCCCCTCGCTTCACCTGTGAGGAGACACCCAG